ATGTAGAAACATCGTGTGTTAAGACAGACCTGTTGCTCTTTTTTAAGTGACTGTATTTATTTGTGTGTATACAATGCACACATGGGTGCACTTGCCTGGCATGGTGTACCTAGAAGTCAAGTTCTGAAAAAGAAAAAGAAACCAACAAACAAAGGGTCCAGCATGACAGCGTGGTGGGGAAAGGTGCTTGGCTTGCCACTGAGCCTAATGACCTGAGTTCTGAGTTCATGGAACCAACTCGCACATGTTGTCCTCTAACCTCAAACATACACACGCACACACGCACGCACGCACACACATGAGATTTTAATTCTGTGTGAAGGCTGGAGAAATGACTTGGGTGTAAAAACACTCACTGCTCTTGCTGAGGGCCAGAGTTCAATGTTAATTTGACTGCAACTCTCGTTGGTGGCGCACGCCTTTAATCCCAGCACTTGGGAGGCAGAGGCAGGCGGATCTCTGTGAGTTCGAGGCCAGCCTGGTCTACTGAGTGAGTTCCAGGACAGCCTCCAAAACAATACAGAGAAACCCTGTCTCGAAAAACCAAAACAAAAAAAAAAAAAAAAAAAAAGAAAGAAAGAAAGAAAGAAAGAAATAGCTGAGTTTAGCTGGGTGGTAGAGATTCACGCCTTTAATCCCAGCAGAGGCAGGAGGATCTCTCAGAGTTGGAGACCAGCCTGGTCTACAAGAGCTAGTTCCAGGACAGCCTCCAAAGCCACAGAGAACCCCTGTCTCAAGACCCCCCTCCCCCAAAAGAGGAAAAAAACAAAAAAGCTAAACTTGTTAAAATCCAGACAGTGGCATACCTTTCCATTTCTTTCCTCTTTTGTGAAAATGTGAGCTGGGGTCCAGGAGTCAAGGCCAGCCTGGACTACACAGCGGGAAACAACAGGGCTGCGGATACAGCTCAGCTGGATATGTCCTGGTCCAGCAGACAGGCAACATTGCATAAGCCAGGTGTGGTGGCCTATAACTGTCATCCTAGCACTTGGTAGAGGCAGGAGGATCAGAAGTTCAAAGTCATCCTTGGCTACATAGTGATTTCCAGGTCAACCTAGGCTACATGAGAACACCCCTCCCCCAAAAAAGAATAATCAAATAATAGCAACAACAAGCGAACAAGAAAGCTAGGTGGCGGTGATGCACACCTTTAATCCCAGCACTCAGAGGCAGAGGCAGGCAGATCTCTGTGAGTTCAAGGCCAGCCTAGCCTACAGAGCAAGTTCCAGGATAGGCTCCAAAGCTAAACAGAGAAACCGTGTCTTAAAAACAACCAAAAACAGCCTGGTCTACCGAGTGAGTTCCAGGACAGCCTCCAAAACAATACAGAGAAACCCTGTCTTGAAAAAAACCAAAAAAAAAAAACAAAAACAAAAACAAAAAACCAGAAAAAAATAAAAAAAATAAATAAAATTTAAAAACACAGAACAAGAAATTCCCCAGTTGTGAGAAGTACAGAGTTCTTTTATCTTTTTCTGGCTATTTGATATTTTTGTTGGTATTGGGAATATTTTCCATTACATTACCAATTTTAACCTAAGATTAACACATGGGCGTTATTAGGATCCAAAGAGCACTGGGTGGGCAGACCTGGCAGGCCCGTAACAGCCCCCCAGCAGGTCTCCACCCCAAGCTGCATCCCCAGCACCTGGATCCAACCCACCCCTGCTAAGGACCATTCGGTACTTTCCATCCCTTTGCTTGTAACTGGCAGAGCCCCTTCCAGCCCTGACCCAGGCCACCTTCTCCTTGGTTCTCTGTACCTCTTTGGGATGGAGTAACTGCCCTGGGCTAGCTCCCATGCTCTAGTCAACCCCTCGGGGGTAAGGACATTGAGGATCATGGATGTAGCCCACATGCTTGGCCTCTGAAGCCCTAGTCAAGCACCAGGCCCCTGCATGGATGTGGGTCACCCAGACCCCCTCTTTTAAGTTTAGTTGCTCCAGACCACCTGCAGGTGTGGACTGTCACGGAAACCCCCACATGTGACAACGGAAAGTCCAAAATTCTACAGGAGTCTTTTCTGTTGATCTCCCGCCAGAGGCTGGGGGACGCTTGCCTTCAACAGTCAGTGCTCAGACAACGGTGGGTGTTCTGGGACAGCTTCAGGCTTTTTTATGAAAAAGTGCAGACTTTGGTCTATGATGCGGTTTTTAGTTCTTCTTTGCCCATTGCCCTTGGCAGAGGAATCCCCATCTGAGAAGCCCCCACAGAGGGAGAAGTCCCTGGCTGGGGAGAAACCCCCAGGCTGCAGGCGTGACATTAAGAGGATAGTAACCCTGCAAAACAAGGGGCCACCTGGGCCACTGCAGGATCAGCATCTGATCGCCCAAAGGTGCAAGGACTGCCTCTGGTATCCTGGGTGCTTCATGTGGGTATTCTGCAGCTGGTGGGCTGAGACATTCCAGCAGTGCCCTAGGTGCTCTTGAGACCCTGGAAAGGTATGAGCAGGGTGCAAGGGCCTGGGGCCTGTGTCCACTCCACCATGTCAGTGAGGAGGCTCTGGTGCTCGGTTGACAGGGGATTGGGGGTTGATGTTTCTGTAGTAAGTACATACCTACAGGAGACAGCAGGAGAGGCCAGTGAGCAGCCGCCTTCGGGGCTGAGGGACAGGTGGTGCCTCTCAGGGGACACAAGCCCATCTTGGCATCACCCAAGGCTTCCTTCTCAGTACCTCAGTACCATAGCAAAGGCGCTATGGTCATGGCTTGGAGCCTTGTGACAGACAGTGAGAGGGCCCCAACCCCCACACACAGCTTTTAGGGCGGCATTCTCCATCTCTGCCTATCTGACTGTACACATACACCCTGGCTCTGAGGTGACCGGACTTTCACAATAAAGTTCTCTCTTCCCAGTACCTGGATCTCATGCTGACTGCCTCACCCATGTTCAGCATTGACACTGCATCTTCTCCCTTCCTGCTTGGTTCTACACACACACACACACACACATACACACACACACTTGCTACACAGCAATCTCAGCACACAAGGAACTCTCAGAGGGGCCCTGAGTTAGGAGACAGGAGAACCCAAGAGAGACCAAGGCCGGGACTAGCCACACATGGTTTCCTGCCCAGATCTCCCTGGTGGCCACCCTTATGAGGATGACACTACTCACTGAATCAGTCACCTGCACAGCCTGAGCTCCCCTCCCAGTGTACCATACAGTCCCAGCCGTACCACATTCCAGGGCCATGCTAACCAGTCTTAGCATTTGCTTCTATTCAACTATCAACACTCATAGTGGCTGGGGCCCCAGCACAAACCTGACTATAACACTTTGCTCCAATAGCTTGTCACCGCCGAGGCCACTTCCAGCTGTAGGTTCTCACCTTGCTGGGGCCACCATTTCCATCTGTATCCTCCACACCATGTCCATCTGTGTCATCTACACCATGTCCATCTGTATCATCTCTACACCATGTCCATCTGTATCATCTCTACACCATGACCATCTGTATCCTCTACACCATGTCCATCTGTATCCTCCACACCATGTCCATCTGTATCATCTCTACACCATGTCCATCTGTATCATCTCTACACCATGTCCATCTGTATCATCTCTACACCATGTCCATCTGTGTCATCTCTACACCATGTCCATCTGTATCCTCTACACCATCTCCATCTGTATCCTCTACACCATGTCCATCTGTATCCTCTACACCATGTCCATCTGTATCATCTCCACACCATGTCCATCTGTATCATCTCTACACCATGTCCATCTGTGTCATCTCTACACCATGTCCATCTGTATCCTCTACACCATCTCCATCTGTGTCATCTCCACACCATGTCCATCTGTATCCTCTACACCATGTCCATCTGTATCCTCTACACCATGTCCATCTGTGTCATCTCCACACCATGTCCATCTGTATCCTCCACACCATGTCCATCTGTGTCATCTCCACACCATGTCCATCTGTGTCATCTCCACACCATGTCCATCTGTGTCATCTACACCATGTCCATCTGTATCCTCCACACCATGTCCATCTGTGTCATCTACACCATGTCCATCTGTATCGTATACACCATGTCCATCTGTGTCATCTCTACACCATGTCCATCTGTATCCTCTACACCATGTCCATCTGTGTCATCTACACCATGTCCATCTGTGTCATCTACACCATGTCCATCTGTGTCATCTCTACACCATGTCCATCTGTGTCATCTCTACACCATGTCCATCTGTATCCTCCACACCATGTCCGTTATCTGTCTCTAGAACACCTCCTGATTTTCCTGGTGCTCCTGTCCTTCAGGTTACACTACCCCTGGTCTCTATCATGAACCCTGAGAATGCTACTTAGACTATGAGGGGAACCAGACAAGAACTTGCAGGGTCCAGGGGCATTTGCCTAGGGCTCTCTGCCTTCCTGCCCCTTGCTGTTGAACCCCCCTGACAGACCCACAGTCCAATGTGCTGGCCACTTCTGAGCGCAGAGATATGCCATGCGTTGTTCCTATGCATCAGCACACAGGATGAACCATCTCCACTGTCCTGTTAGAGTCTTCCATTCCATTCCTCCGGCCCCAGGTCTGGAACAGCTAGGGGTTCTCAGCCAGGTCCATTGTCCAGTCCTTTGCGTTGGTTTCTTATTGTGGCTACTCTCAGAGGTGCTGGCTCATCTCATCTGGGCAGCCAGTATATGGCTGTGCACGAGTATCTTGCTTGCATGTTTTTGGTCACCACATACATGTCATACCAGTAGAAGCCAAAAGAAGGTGTCAAAATCCTCTGGAACTGGAGTTATGAATAGGTCGTGAGCCATCACATGGGTGCTGAGAACCAAACCCGAACCTTCTGCAAGATCAACAAGTGCTCTTAAGTGCTGCTGAGCCATTTCTCCAGTCCCCTTTCTTTTCTAATTTCAGTGTGTGTGTGTGTGTGTGTGTGTGTGTGTGTGTGCATGTGTGCGTGCATGTGTGCGTGCATGCGTGTGTGTGTGTGTGTGTGCATGTGTGTGTGTGCATGTGTGTGTGTGCATGTGTGTGTGTGTATGTTCCTGAGTATGGAGCTAAAGGTGAACATGGGGTGTTTTCTTCAGTTGCTCTCCACCCAAGTTTTTGAGGCAGGTTCTCTTGTGGAACCTGGAACTTAATCCATTCAGCTAGGCTGCCTGGGCAGCGAGCTCTCCCGAGGCTTCTGTCTCTACCTCCCCAGCACTGGGATAACTCAGGTGCCCAGGCTTGCTGGGGCAGGGAGATAGTCCACTGAGCTGTCTTCCCAGCCCATCCTGGTTTTACCCATAAACAGGACCCTCTGTAGGAAGACTAGAGGGGCAACTTTCCTGTTTCCTCCATCCCAACCCCAGCCCGGGCAGCTACCCTGGATTCCACAGGAAGTCTCTGTCCCCAACCTGCAGAAGGCGGGCCCTGATTGGCTCCAGGGTGAGTAGTAGCCTCTGCTCTTTTCTGGTTGAAAGTATAACAGAGACGTGGAACAAGGCAAGCGTCGCCTTTCCCCAGCTGGGGAGTAGGTATATTGGCTCACAGGTGCCTCTGGGATAGTCCCAAGACACCCAAAGGTAGAGAGAAAGGGGGTCGCAAGCTCGCATAGGCCAGCAGGGGGCGCTGGCGCACGGTCCGTGTGGAAACAATGGCTGGCGGGGATGGGACGCTGCGCCGCCTGCTGAGACTGCACCGCACCGAGATCGCTGTGGCGGTAGACAGCGCCTTCCCGCTGCTGCACGCTCTGGCTGACCACGACGTGGTTCCAGAGGACAAGTTCCAGGTGGGCTCCTGGTCCCCCAGGACCTCTCAGTCTCCCCACTCCTCTCCCCACAACTTAGATCCCTCCCAAGCCCTGCCAACACCCACACACCCACGCACACCAGCCAAGGGGTGGCCTCGGGAGACCTCTCCAGGACAAGTTTCAGGTGAGTCCCCTAACCGCACATCCTGTGCACCCCCACTTCCCAGAATCCAGGGATCTGCAGGAATAGGCAGGTCTCCCTTCCAAAAGAGGCAACAGGGATTGGGGGCAGGGTATGCACAGGCAGCCTGATACTGTCACTTCAGGAGACACTCCGGCTGAAGGAGAAGGAGGGCTGCCCGCAAGCCTTCCATGCCCTGCTGTCCTGGCTCTTGACCCAGGACAGTGGGGCCATCCTGGACTTCTGGAGGGTTCTCTTCAAGGACTACAATCTGGAACGGTACAGCCGCCTGCATACCATCCTGGATGGCTTCCCAAAAGGTGGGCCTGTGCTGACGGTGCCTGGCATCCCAGCCTATGGGGAGGGAGCATTGAGTCTACGGGTCTAAGTTAAGTGTTTTCAGGGAGCCACTAGAACTGGGCTGGATCCTAAGAGGCACTGGGCAAAGGCCTGTCTCAGGAGTGCCCTGTTCTAGAGCCTACCCTGAGGAAAAGGCTCTATCTAAGACAGGGCCTTTGTCCCTGCTGCAGATGTGGACCTCAGCCAGCCCCGGAAGGGGAGGAAGCCCCTTGCTGGTCCCAAGGTCTCTGTACTGCCACCCAGACCCCCTGCCAAGAGAAAAGCCCCAGAGGAACCTCGTGCTACGCCAACAGCAACCCTGACCCCAAAGAGCTCCTCCAGCCCAGGTACTCAGGGAGAGGAGCTAGCCAGGATGTCGGGGCCCTCTCCAACTGGCTCTCGGGAGCTTCTGTCCCAGGGATGCCTGCCCAGGGCCAGCCTGATAGAGCCGCAGTCACCTCTGAGCCCTGGTGGAGGCTCACCGCCTCGCAGCTTCTTCCTGTTCTGAAGGCTGAGTTCCTCCTGGCTGGTGAGGCAGGCAGGTGGTTTTGATTTCGTTTCTGTTGAAGAAGGAAATGGCCTAACACGGCTTAAGAACACTCAGGGGGTCAGGAAACCCTTGATCTGCCCCTACCAGGTGCTCTCCCCCACCCAGGACCGCCCCGGCCCAGAAAGGGCTTTACCTTCAGGCTGCCTCCACCTCTCCTTGGCAGGCTCCCATCCAAAGACCAAGCCCCCTAAGAAGCCAGAGGGCAACTCGGAATCACAGCGCCTCCCGCTGGGGAATGGTGAGTAAGGCCAAGAGAGCAAGGGGCTGAGTGTGTGGAGGTTGGTGGGGATCTGATCCCATTGGCCTCAGCTGGATGGCCAAGTCCAAAAGTGTTGTCAGTCACTCCATCCACACTGCCCTGAGTGTCTCCTCCCAGATCGCTGCCTACTTAGTGCTCCCAACCTTCAGGCCAGCCCAGAAACAGCCATGACAAAACTATTCCTGCTCCTCAGCTGGGCCCAACCTCGTTACCGTCAATCCCACACTGATCCCAGCACCCCATAGACCTCTCACTTCCTGGTCCTCACCCCGCAAGATGGCCTAGGAACTCTGTGCCCTGGTGTGGCGTAGGTCCCACATCGTGAGATACTTGTTAATCTCTCGCTGTGCTCAACTCCGCTAACACGTGCAGTCCCACAGACCCGTGCTCGTGATTGCACGTGTGTATCCACTGGTGTCGTACCTTCTCCAGGAATTCAGGCCGTGTCGGCTTCCGTCCAGAGAGCTGTGACTGTGTCCTCTGGGGAGGTCCCAGGAACCCGAGGGGCCGTGGAAGGGATCCTTATCCAGCAGGTGTTTGAGGCAGGCAAGTGCATGGGGAGCAGGCTGCCAGGGAGACCCAGGCCTTCAGGAGGCGGCTCCAGAGCAACCGTGGCCGAGGCTGAGGACAAGGCAGCCAGTGTACCCCCATGAAGTTCTGCTGGCTTTGGGGCACAATGATGCTGAAGGCCCGTCCATTGTCACATTCAGGCATCGAGTGCCCACCCCGTCATTAGTGGGCGCTGCTGAGTCACAGCTGACATCCCTAAATGGTTTTTCCATGTGCTCCAGGTCTCTCTACCGCCCTAGCCTCAGGCATGTATGTCCTGTCCAGTCCCCTCATTATTTATCCAGGCTCCTTCCATAACTGCCTACCTACTGGGTAGGCTAGCAGGGTACCTTATATGCTACCCACGCCATCTGGACAAGACAGAGTCACTTGCCATTGCAGTATCTGCTCTCCAGCATCTTCTCTGTCCTGGGCACCAGACTTGGATGCTATGGACAGCCAGGATGATCTGGGAGCTGATGCCAGTCCTGGCCTGGCCCCGTCAGAGCAGCCCCAAGAATCTTGTCTGACTATGCTGGGGTTACCATAACAAAAATGTCCCTGGGTTTTTTTTTTTCAAAGATGATCTCTCAGCACCTGGGATCACAGGCTTTTTTTTAAAGATTTTTTTAAAATTTTATTTATTATGTATACAGTGTTCTGTCTGCATGTATGCTTGCATGACAGAAGAGGGCACCAGATCTCATTATAGATGGTTGTGAGCCACCATGTGGTTGCTGGGAACTGAACTCAGGACCTCTGGAAGAACAGTCAGTGCTCTTAACCTCTGAGCCATCTCTCCAGCCCATGTCCCTGGGTTTATAACAACAGATTCCAAAGTCAAGATGTGGGTGGCCAGGGACGCATCCCTCTGGAGGCTATGGCGGGTCCCTACCCTGTCTCTAGTACCTAGTGCTGTTGTGGAGCTCACTTCTGGGCTGTGGCTATGTCTCTCCAGTCTAACTGTGTGTCTCTCTGTTTTCATCTTTCCTTGTTAGAGCATTGGATTTAGGGTCTAGTACGACATCACCTTAAACAATTATATCTCCAAATCCCCTGTTTCCAGCAAGGCCCTACTCTGAGCTGATGAGTGCACACTATCTTAGTAAATTCCAGCAAAGAATCCCTCGTTGTACCCAGAACCCAGGCCTCAGACTTGGCTGTGGTTAGGGAATGGGGAGGAATGGCAGGCTTTGGTTTCTCCCAGACCCCTGGTGTTAGCTCAAGCCTGGTTTCCCTCCCTTCCCAGGAGGCTCCAAGAAGTGCATCCAGGTTGGGGGCGAGTTTTATACTCCTAGCAAGTTCGAAGACCCCGGTGGCAATACAAAGAACAAGACCCGGAGTGGTGGCAGCCTAAAGCCAGTAGTCCGAGCAAAGGGAGCCCAGGTCGCTATCCCTGTAAGCATCATCCAGTATGTCCATCTTTGGGGAGCTGGGCCTTGGGTAGCTCCCCTCCCCCACAAAATAGCCTGGAGTTGGGAGTTACTTCCCAGAACCACCTAGTCCTGGTGGCCACATGGATCTGCCCTGACCCTGGCTACCTCATCATGACCCTGCATGTCTCATAGGGTAGAGATGAGCAGAGAATGAGCCAGCAGTGCGGGGTCCCTGTCCTTCCAGCCCTTCCCAGTGAGCCCCAGGTTCACCAGGTAAGCCCCAAGAACAGGGGAGCCTGGCTTCTCCACCAGCGTTCACCCAGACCTTCTGTCCCTTGTCCTGGGCGTTTAGCTGCCTGGAAAACAGGTCTGAGTTCCTACCCATGCGGGGCTCCTCCCTTCCTCCCCCTCCCCTTCTGTCTCCTCCCACTCCCTCCCCTCTGCTCTTTCTTGGAAGTGGCTCTTTCCCACGATTTCAAATTAGTCAGAGCAGGTGAGGTTCTTCCAGAGAAATCACATGTTCATCTACGTTGTAGTCATGGTGGTACACGAATTTAATCCCAGCACTCAGGAGGCGGAGGCAGGTAGATTTCTGAGTTTGAGGCCAGCCTGGCCTACAAAGTGAGTTCCAGGATGGCCAGGACTACACACAGAAACCCTGTCTTGAAAAAACAAAACAAAACAAAAAACAAACCAAAACAAAATCATATATATTAAAATAAAATCACACATTCACTCCATACTACAAAAAGCATCTCAGTGGGCTGGAGAGATGGCTCTGGTTAAGAGCACTGGCTGCTCTTCCAGAGGTCCTGAGTTCAATTTCCAGCAACCACAAGGTGACTCACAACCATCTGTAATGAGATCTGGTGCCCTCTTCTGGCCTACAGGCATACATGCAGACAGAATACTGTATATATAATAAATAAACCTTAAAAAAAAGGCATCTTAGTTGGAGTTGGGGTAGAGATGCTGTTAAATCTGGAGTATGAGGGTTCCCTGGGGACATCAACCTCACCCTCTCCTCCCCAGCACCTCTGGCTGGCTGTGCCTGACTGAACCAGCCATCATTGACTATAGGTCCCAACACCTCAGAGCCAGGCACTCTCCCTGGACATCAAAGATTGAAGGGTCCAGTTCTGCCCTGCTCCACAAGACAGGTACCCAAATACCCAATACAGGTATTTGGGGGCCTGTGGAAGTATTCCCATGGACGTGCAGGTCTCTGTGCAGGGCCAGCATAGCCTGGCATCTGTGAGCTTCCTGAGGAGGTGGTACCAGACTCACAATTGCCTCTATCCTGACAAAAGCATAAGGTGGGGAACAGGGGGTGACAGGAGGTACCCAGGACTGACAGGAAACCCCATGGGCCCATCCACCGGCTGTCCTGTTTGGCAGGTGGGCTCCACTTAGAGGGCTGCCCGGTACCCAGTACTTCTTCCAGAGAGGAACGCCCTCTAGGTCTGTTCAAGAACCAGCACTGTAAAGATTAAAGCAGAGGCCAGGCAGGGGCAACCATGGAGCAGGGAGGGAATCTGGGATTCGGTCCCTGGCCGTGAGCATTGCAGGAGGAGCCTCCCCAGGGCCGGCTCTCAGGCAGGCACTGTGCTCCCTTCTGGGTCTGCATGGGCCCCTCTCGCCTGGTCAGAAGAACGAGGACGAGTGTGCTGTGTGCCACGATGGAGGTGAGCTCATCTGCTGTGATGGCTGTCCCCGGGCCTTCCACCTGGCTTGCCTGTCGCCACCTCTGCGGGAGATCCCCAGGTGAGCAGAATTCCCCTTGCTACTTTTGTCCTGGCCACCCAGATCCATCACTGTCCTTATCTGCTGACCTTGAAGAAGCCTAGCAGCCCCCAGCTCCACAGATAGACAGTCAGGGTCCTGCAGGAAGAGCCATGCTTTGGGGCACTGGCCATGGGCACGGTAAGATTTTCCCACCATGCCACCTTCCTCCCCTCTCTGCCATAAGGCTCATTCAGGGCAACAGGCCTAAAGGCAGCCATAACACAGAGTCCCCAAAGCAAAGGTGGGCATATTATGTTTTTCACCCCAGGTTCCTAGCCCAAACTTCCTTGAGCTCAGGTCTTTTTCTCCAAGGTCCTCCTAAATATCCCAGGTAAGGTTGGGGGACACAGAAGCCACAAAGTCACAGTCTCCACTCCCATCGCTGACTGCACAGGTCTTTGTCCTGGGGGTGCAGCAGTCTGTGGGGCTCTAGCCTTGGCTGTGTCCCTTGTTTTACCAGGTCTCTCTGGCCCTTTTCCACCAGAGTCCTTCCGGTGCTGTCATTGCTGCCCCACCCCCATCCCTAGAGAAACATGTGTGTTCTGAGGATGGAAACAGTGTAGCCGAGGGCGAGCCTACAACTGCTTCATGCCCACAGGCACAGGCACTGAGGGTTACTGAGCATAGGGAAATCTTTGTTTGTTTGTTTGTTTGTTTTGTTTTTCGAGACAGGGTTTCTCTGTGGCTTTGGAGGCTGTCCTGGAACTAGCTCTCGTAGACCAGGCTGGTCTTGAACTCATAGAGATCCGACTGCCTCTGCCTCCTGAGTGCTAAGATTAAAGGCGTGTGCCACCAATGCCTGGCTGAGCATAGGAAATTCTTAAAGATTAGCTGAGACACAGTCTAGGGACACTGACTCTCTGGCCAGGCCATCCTCCAGGGCTAAATAACTCACAACCTACTGAACTTCCCTTGTGGTAACTGGCTTAACCATTCCTGGGTTTGGTTTCCCACGGTGATATGGAGGGTCCTCAAGCTGCCCCTGCCATGAGTTTGGGGGGGAGGGGGTGTCTATGGTCTCTGCTTTGTCCTGCATGCCTGTGACTGGTGGCCTCCCTAAATAGCGGCCTCTGGAGGTGCTCCTGCTGCCTCCAGGGCAGAGTCCAGCAGAACCTGTCCCAGCCTGAAGAGTCCAGGCCCCTGGAGTCACCTGCAGAGACCCCGGTATGCCCATACTGGATCCCCCCCCCCCCCCTTCCTTCTCTCTGTCCCTCTACAGTCCTACCCCCTGGCTTCTCCTGTGAGTTCTGCTTGCCCTGGCTGTAGTGTCAAGCTCTATTCCAGCCTGAGCAACCTTTCTGGCCATTTCCCTGTCCTTTCAATGGCCCAGTTCCTTCTAGTCTGTGGGCCCTGAGCAGGATACACTCCCACCACCCCTAAAATTCTCCAAAAGCCTTGGTAGCTTTCTGTTGTGTTGCACCCTACATCCTGTTAGAAACCCATTTGCTCTGACAGACCCTGAGGCCACTGTCACCAGCTCGAACATGGCAAGGATGGAAGGGTTTGCTGAGAGCCATGGAGCCACATACCCAGCCCTTCTTCTCTGTTTTTAACATTTGTTTCTTTGCATTTGTGTTTTGCCTGCGTGTATGTCTGCGAGAGGGTATCAGATGCCCTGGAACTGGAATTACAGACAATTGTGAGCTGCCATGTGGATGCTGGGAATTGAACCCAGGTCCTTCCTCTAAACTGCTGAGCCATCTCTCCCACCTGCACCGAGCCTTTTTAACCCCAAACCCACCCCAGCAGCCCAGTCATGACTCCCTGGTGGTGCTGAGCAGTGCCCTGTGGCCCCTGAGTGCTGACCCTTGAATTCCAGGTCCTCCTGGGGCTGAGGTCAACTTCAGAGGGAACCAGGGCCCTGTCCAGGGAGCTCCCAGTCAGCTCAGACGCTGCTATCACCTATGTGAACCTGCTGGCCCCACCTTCTGCAGCCCCCCTGCCTCTGCTGAGTGCTGGGGTTGAGGGGCAGCAGGTGAGTGGGGGGACCCCTGGGGCCTGGGTGCTGTCTTCTGGGAGCTCTAGACCTACAGGGCATGGTAAACCCAAAACAGAAGAGCTGGTGGACCCCTTAGGGGCTAGGGATTAGAAGGGCATTCCAGGGGTCCAGGAGGACTCTGCCAGGAGGCACAGGGGCTGTGGGAGAGCACCTAGAGGGACTCGTGCATGGCTCTCAACCCTGCTACTCAACTCTGATGTCCCCAAGTCCAGCTGGGCCTTCTAGATGGCTCAGCAGGTAAAGGGGCTTGCTGCCAAGCCTGAGGACCTGAGCTGGATCCCCAAGATTGCAGACGGAGGGACTCACTCTGCAAGTTGTCCTCTGATCTCCATGTGCACACTCACAGATAGTAAATTAACTAGAAAGGAGGGAGGGAGGGAGGAAGGAAGGAAGGGAGGTAGGGAGGGAGGGAGGGAGGAAGGAAGAAAAAAAGAAAGAAAAAGGCCTAACTTGGTTATCTGGGTAATACACACACTCACACACACCAGACACACACAAATCCGGTGACACAAGACAGCATTGGAGACTCAGAATCCCCCAAGCCCTGCCCACCTCCAGCAGGCACATTCCCTACAAGCTCCTCTGGAGCTTGGCGAGAGCAGGGCTGGATGAATTGACCCTAGCGGGCCAGGCACTTTCTGACCGTTGCTAGGGTTACCCCTGCCTTCTCTGGACACCAAAGCATCAGAACTTAACAGTCCCGTTCATGCGATTTGCAACCACGAGTTTTCCTGGTTAACCCAGCTTGGTGGGGCTTACGGTGAGTACCGCACAGGCCTTGAGTTGCTGTCGGCATTGCTCGATCACGCCCCTGCAGGGTCCAGCACCAGGCGCGCGGTGCGGTGTGTGCGGGGACGGCGCAGACACGCTGCGGTGTACACACTGTGCTGCCGCCTTTCACTGGCGCTGCCACTTCCCGATGGCAGCAACCCGACCAGGGTGAGTGAGGTGGTGCGGGCGGGAGAGTAGCCAACATCCCCACCCACCCCGTGGGTTCTCGCACCGAGCAAGCTTTCTCCACTACTCTAGGACGAACTCCCGCTGCAAGTCCTGCTCTGCAGACCCCACTCCCACGCTGGGCGAGGCAGCGCCCACTTCAGGACGCCCAGCCCCTGTGCTTGCCAAGGTCAGTGTGAGGTCAGTTGAGGTGGGGTCCTGTGGGCATGGAGGAGAATTTAAAGCCACATCCACTAACCTTGTGTCCCCTTGAGTTTTTATTGTTTTTTTTATTTTTTGGTTTTTCTGTGTAGCTTTGGCTGTCCTGGAACTCACTCTGTAGACCGAGCTGGCCTCGAACTCACAGAGATCCACCTGCCTCTGCATCCTGAATGCTCTGATTAAAGGCGTGGGCCACCACCACAGGGCTTTTAGAGGCAGGGTATCACTACAGATCTCTGGCTGTCTTGGAACTCCCTCTATAGACCAGGCTGGCCTCAAATTGGCAGTGGTCTGCCTGCCTCTGCCTCTCAAATGCTGGGATTAAAGACTTGTGTCACTTTTTATTTTTTAAAAACTAGTGCTGGGATCAAAGGTGTCCATCACCGCACCCAGCCCCCATTCACCTGCTGCCCCTCAACCCCAGCACTCAGCAGAGGCAGGGGGGCTGCAGAAGGTGGGGACAGCAGGTTCACATAGGTGATAGCAGCATCTGAGCTGACCGGGAGCTCCCTGGACAGGCTCCTGGTCCCCTCTGAAGCTGACCTCAGCCCCAGGAGGACCTGGAATTCAAGGGTCAGCACTCAGGGGCCACAGGGCACTGCTCAGCACCACCTGGGAGTCGTGACTGGGCTGCTGGGGTGGGTTTGGGGTTTGAGGTTGGTGCAGGTGGGAGAGATGGCTCAGCAGTTTAGAGGAAGGACCTGGGTTCAATTCCCGGTAAATACAACATGTCGGTTGCCCACTGTGCCTGCACCTCAAGCCTGCTTTGTGGTGGGGTACCGGCTGCTGCTTCTGCAAGCTGGAGTCCTGCTTCCGGGACCCCAGCCTGCTGCTAGGTTGGATTGGCTGTTAACTCTTTGGTTTTAGGTGGGGGACGACTCTGCTGGCCATGAGCCTGCTCTGCAAAGGGATGATCTGGAGTCCCTTCTGAATGAGGTAAGGCATCACCTGGCCTCGGCTGAGCTCCCAGCTCTCTTGCTGCCTCAAGTCAGGCAGGCCCCAGCAGTCCAGTGCCGCCCCGCCCCCACGGATGATGCTCTTCCCAGTGCGCCCCGCCCCCACGGATGATGCTCTTCCCAGTGCGCCCCGCCCCCACGGATGATGCTCTTCCCAGTGCGCCCCGCCCCCACAAATGCTCTTCCCATCCAGGAGCCCCAGGGTGCCGAGGCCTACAGGAGATGAGCTGCTTCCTCCTACCTGTAGTCCTCCTCCTCCCCCCTGGCGCCTGGGAGTCCTATTGTCCTCAGGACGTTAGAACCAGGGGAGGGGCTTAATCCCTCGACTCTTGAGGGAGAGCTGGTAGGGTGGTCTTTCAGGGACCTCACTCTTACCCCTCCCAACTCAGGTTTCTGCACCTTAAGATGGCCGGGTTGGGCCAGGTGTGGTGGCCCAGGTCTTTGGTTCCCAACACTTGGGAGGCAGACAGAGGATTGTGAGGTGGATGCTAATCTGGACCACGTGATGAAACTCTGTCTCAGAAACCTGAGGGGCTAGAGAAATGGCTCGGTGGCTGAGTGTGTTTTGCTCTTGCAGAAGATCACCTTTACTTCCCAGTGGCCATGTCAGTGAGCTATGTACAGGCAGAGCTGTGGAAATGCAAAGACAGAGATGGATGACCACCATGAATGGGCATTTGAAATAATGAGCACCCCCCCATGACTTCCTAGTCCTGATAGGATGCGACTCTTGAGCAGAGGGGAAGGATCTAGCTCAGAAAGCCACCAAGAAGAGGAAGGGACAGCCTGGTGGCCAAGCTGAGGGACTAAAACATGTTCTAGAAAAGCACTCAAGTGCTTTACTGGCATGTCCTGTGGGGCCTCGGGTCTCAGTCCCCCACCTTGAATTAGAGGGACAGGGTGTGTGATACCTTCACATCAGAATGACACAATTCTGTAGACATGGCGGGGTGGGCAGGGGCTCTGAGGAGGTCCAGCTGGTCTGGACCTCTGTGCCACTCTCTTCCAGCACTCCTTCGACGGCATCCTGCAGTGGGCCATCCAGAGCATGTCACGCCCGCTGCCCGAGACACCACCCTTCTCCTCCTAACCCCAGGTGGCCCCGGAGGGTGGGCAGCATAGCACCAGCCTCTCACCCCAAATCATCGGATGAGGCAGAGTTGCTTTCCAGCCACTGTGTTCTGAGAGGACGTGCTCTGTCACCCCAGCAGCTGGGCTGCTTAGGACCAAGAGCTGGCAGGTCCCAGCCGTCAGTACCCAGCTTGCAGGTGGCCCTGGTCTTTGTGGGGACACAAGGCCATCCTGTGTCCTGAGATTAAAGTCACTTCCGTGGGCTTTGAGGTGCTCTGTAGTGGTTGATTTTGGGGGTATCCATACTCCTGGTGCTTGACACTAGGCCAGGGTGGAAGGGGTTCACAGTTACAGAAGAGGGATGCCTTGAGGAAAAATCACAGGAGGAATGGCCAGCACTGTGTGCCCTTGGAGCAAAGCCTGAGGCCCTGTCATGGTCCCCAAGGCCCTGTGTGGCTTTGTCCCATCTCCACCTCTGTGTCAGTCCCCCTGTGCCAGAAGCATCGGTTCAGAACTGCATATTGTAACACTTGGACACGTGGAGCAGGGCTCTGCCTGGGTGGGTGTGGGCATGTGTGTGCCCGTATGTGAACACTCAGTCCCTGTTTACCGTGGTTGGGGAGGGGGCTTTCTCAGAAGGTGGACTGCGGCACACAGATGCTGTCCTTGTTTTCTGGTGGGGGAGGTCACAGATAGAATGAAGAGCTAAAGCCCCTAGAATCTGCAAGACCACAATCCAGGTTCACCCCCTTTTACAAGGACCATGGACCTCCCGAAATTGATCCCTTTCCTTTTACTCAAGCTTGCCCAGGTCCTGGCCCTGTGAAGCCACCCATAGACAGGCTCCTTGAGGAAACAAAAGCTTCTGGTTTGACTTATTGGGGAAGGGAAGTACAGCAGAACAGCCTCTGGCCACCCCTTCCTTCCGTCCTCTTGGACTTCCTGTATGTCATCTCCACTACCACAAGATGCCTGCTTCACTTTGCCACAGAGTCTAGTCTTTTAGTTTAGTTTGGTTTTGAGACAGGGTTTCACTGTGTGTCCCTGGCTGTCCGGTACTCACTCTGTAGACCAGGCTGGCCTTGAACTCACAGAGTTCCACCTGCGTCTAGGCTTTTTAGCTGGTATTTTGAAAGTAATGAAACATGGCTTTCTGCATTTAGGTGGGACAGATCCCTGTCCCTGAAGCTCTCACCCCACTTTCTTTGGCTCCTCTCACAGGCAGTCCATGGGTTTGTCAAGGTATCTCTCGTTCTTGCCTATCTGTGGGTGGTTTGTCTTGTTCATCCGGAACCCAAACGAGAACTGCCCACGATAGTCCCGAACTTAACTGAGTGAGTAGCGGGTGGGTGGGTGTGTGCGCGAAGCAAGCTGGTGTGTGAGCACTGCTCCAGGCTGCAGAGCAGTTAAGCCTGCCTTCCCCCGAGGGTGATGGGACTGCTGTGGTGAGCACTGCAGACGGAGACTTACACAGCAGATAGGGGCTCTGCTGCCCCCGGTGGCTGGAAGGAGATCAAGGGATGGGCAGGTGGGGTGGCTTACTGCCGGCAACTCCCCGCGCCGCCTCTCGTGTGTGTGTGTGTGTGTGTGTGTGTGTGTGTGTGTGTGTGTGCGTGTGTGCGTGTGTGCGTGTGTGTGTGTGTGTGTGTGTGTGTGTGTGAGTGGATCTCCTTTTGTTGTTGATATTATTGGAGATGGGGGGGGCGTCTTACTGTGTAGCCCAGGCTAGCCTCTGGCTCTCCATCCTCTTACCTCTCATAAATGCTGAGATTACAGGTCGTGCCACTGGGCCCAATCTCCTGTTTGGTTACATGCTGAGCCCCCACCATCACCATGATGGCCTGTCTTCAGCTGGATCCTTAGACACACAGAGCTGGCAGGAAGGAGGCCTGAGGACACAGGCAAGTGGATGAGTGCCAGGTCACTGACCCCAAACCTGAGAGCTTTATTGCTCCAGGATGCTCTAAGTTCATTCTGATCTTCAGCCTGGACCAGCGCAGGTGAAGATGATAAAATGAGGGCCAAAGTTAACAAGAAGATCGCAAGATATAGAGGTGCGTTCCGAAGCAAGGATGCCCACAGAACAGCTATCCTAGAGACGGGCAAGCGGTCTAATGGGAGGGCGGAGCCAATAAGGTGGGGGGGCACTGTGGCCGAGGGTGCCAGGCTGCCATCCCGAGACTCCCTATGCACTGAAATAGTGCAGCCAGATGGCCTTGGGAGCAGCAAGTCAGGTTCCAAAAGTCTTCTCTACATCCCAGAGACCCTCTGGTCTCTGAAGGAGGCAATCTCCGAGAAGAATCTGCAGGCCTCAGACAGTCAGAATTTACAGAAAGCAGTCCCGAGGACTAAGCTAGCTCCTAGGATGGCTCTGATGTGAATGGTGGCCTGCAGCCTCATGCGGGGCACAGACAGTCCAGTGAGTGACGATAGACTGGGAGCATTGAAGAGCCTTCTTGTTCATGACCTCAGTGCCACCTGGTGGCCACCCAGAGGAACAGCTGCCTCTGCTGGGCTAGGGAGGCTACTCTTGCACAGGTAGGTTTCTTGGTGAATGGCTATTCTTGCCTTAGTCTTATGCATAGTGTGTTTTGCACATGTTAAGTTATAAATGGATCTCAGCACAGGGGAGACTGAACTTCGTCATCTGTAACCCTTCACTGCATAATTGCTTACTGCCCTCAGAAGAATCTGAGGCTTCCAGCTGCCACTTGTTAACTGGGTTGACGTGGGCTTAACCATGTGCTCCTGGGACCAATCTAGAGTCAAATTTCTTTTTTTTTTTTTTTTTTTTGGTTTTTCGAGACAGGGTTTCTCTGTGGCTTTGGAGGCTGTCCTGGAACTCGCTTGGTAGTCCAGGTTGGTCTCGAACTCACAGAGATCCGCCTGCCTCTGCCTCCGGAGTGCTGGGATTAAAGGCATGCGCCACCAACGCCCGGCTAGAGTTAAATTTCTTTAATGAATGTTTTTAGACGTATTGATTTTGTTTTATGTGTATGACTGTCTAGCCTGCATGTATATGTGTCTGTGTAGCACACGCGTGTTTCGTACCGCAGAGGTCAGAAGAGGGCATCAGATCCCCCAGAGCTGAAGTTACAGATGGTTGTAAGCTGCCTGAGTCCTGTGGCAAGAGCCACAGGTGCTCTTAGCTGCTGAGCTCTCTCTCCAGCTGAGCCCTGTCCACATCTTTAGTGGTGGGTGACAAAGTATTCTTAGTCACATAACTCCTGTGGTCTGTGGACTCATTTTCTGTTCTTTTGTCACTATGTCAGAGTAGGATTTTTTTTTCCTCATGCAGAGCTCTGAATTAGGAGTTAACCATCTGTTATTCAGTGTGTTTTATGCAGTCAGTGCGAGGTAGGGTCTTAGACTGTTACTGAGAGCTGAGGCATCAGAGGGACTTAAGACATTAAAAATGGATCAACCATGTAACGTGTAAGAGTGCTATTAATGGCAATGTGTTCAAACTAAACTGTTTAAAAGGCTTTCACCTCTAAGCGGGGTGAAGATGCATGCCTGTAACCTACCGCTTGGGAGGTGGAAACAGGAGGATCTAGTGTTCAAGGGCAGCCTTGGCTACAGGAGACCATGTATCAAAAGCAAACCACAAAGACTTGGTTTTCTACTGCCTGTGTATGCAACAATGTTGAGATCGGGATTTTCACACATTTGTTTAGAGCACAGATTTTCCCAAACAAGTTCCCGATTTTGCCTCTGCCCTGGTCTCTGTCCTTACTCCACTTAGTCTAGTTTTGTTTTGTTTTGTTTTGTTTTTGAGACAGGGTTTCTCTGTGTAGCCCTGGCTATCCTGTAACTTGCTTTGTAGACCAGGAGGGCCTTGAACTCGCCGAGATCCATCTGCCTCTGTCTCCCAAGTTCTGGGACTAAAGGCATACACTATCAGCTGTCCAGCTAGTTTTAGCAAGAATCATGCTGAGATGCTGGGCAGTGGTGGTACTTGCCTTTAATCCCAGCACTTGGGAGGCAGAGGTGAGCAGATTTCTGTGAGTTCGAGGCCAGCCTGCTCTATAGAGTGAGTTCCAGGACAGGCTCCAAAGATGTAGAGAAACCCTGTCTCAGAAAAAAAAAAGAAAAAGAAAAAACCAACAACAAGAAAGAACCCAGCAGCCGGGCATTGGTGGCGCATGCCTTTAATCCCAGCACTCAGGAGGCACAGGCAGGCAGATCTCTGTGAGTTCGAGGCCAGCCAGGTCTACAGAGCTAGTTCCAGGACAGTCTCCAAAACAATACAGAGAAACCCTGTCTGGAAAAACAAACAAACAAAAAAACAAACAAACAAAAAGAACCCTGCTGAGTCAGTTTCAAATGTCCTCATCCTGGAGTCTGAAGTCTTTCTGTCTCTTCTCTGTGTGTGTGTGTGTGTGAGTGTGTGTGTAAGTGTGTGAGTGTGTGTGAGTGTATGTGTGAGTGTGTGTGAGTGTGTGTGTGTGTGTGTGTGTGTGTAGCTGAGCAGGCCGTTTCTCCTCTACTGCAGCATCATCTACCTCTACCTGGGCATCTTTATCAAATGCAGCGAGGCCCTTTACATGCCCTCACCAACACTAGTTAGTTCTCCTCTCTGCCGGAGGCTGCCCTGGGCTGGGCAACATACCCTGCACTAGGCTTTTGCTGGGCTCTCCAGGACTGGGAATTAATAACGATGAGAAACTCTTGTCCTCTCTGAGATACTGAGACCCCAAGTCCTGGTGAGGGTCACAGGGAGGCAGATGAAAGAAATCTAGAGGATGTTGAGCCAACCTGGTCTTGGTGAAGACAGCCAGCACTTCTGGAAACCATGCTCCCACAAGCTGCACAGTGGGGCTTGTAGGCCTGGCCCTGGGTGAAAAAGACAGCTGGCCAGCGTCCCTGTCTTGTGACTTCAATGCTGAGATCCTGTCTTAGGCTGTTTGGAAGAGGTCTCAACAACTGTAAATTGTCAGTGATGTGAGGACATGAAGGGTCCCTTGGAATAATGGACACTTTAGGGGGAGCTGGGTTCAGGCCTCCTGTACTCAGACACTTGATTCCCACCTGTTGCTTTTTTGTTTTAAAGATTTATTTATTATGTATACAGTATTCTGTCTGCATGTATGTCCATAGGCCAGAAGAGGGCACCAGATCTCATTACAGATGGCTGTGAGCCACCATGTGGGTGCTGGGAATTGAACTCAGGACCTCTGGAAGAGCAGTCAGTGCTCTTAACCTCTGAACCACCTCTCCAGCCCTTGTTTTGTTTTTTCAAGACAGGGTTTCTCTGTATTGTC